TTAATACTTTTTTCGATAATCATTATGATTCTATAAATATAAGGTAAAAAGTGAATTGGTAGTGTGATATTGAAAGTGCAGGAAGAATCTCTAAATTCACTAGGACCCGGATAAGAAGATTTTTTACCATAGAGATGTTAACTTCGCAATTAAATGAAGTATTGATGAGCCAAAAAGACGATGATATTCCAATGTAGAGGTTAAGGGTTTTAGATATTAACACTAAAGCTACGCCGATGAAGCCGACAAAAAAGGAGGAGTAAGGATAAGGACGGGAAGAACAAAGCTAAGCGATAGAGCTAATATGAGAGGATTGTGAAAAGTCAAATGGAAAATTAGTTATACTGGATTTGCAATGGCTACCGCCGAGAAGATATAAAATTAAACATGTTGGAAAGTGGATGTTTAAAGACTCAAAGGAGATTTTCTAATGTTTCCATCGTGAGTTTTTTGCTGAATCTGTGAAGTACAAATTTCCAGCGCATGTATCTTGTGTCTTTTGGGCCAAATTAAACAAGACACTTGCGTTTCATAGAGTCACCAAACACTTCATCACAATGGAAGCTGAAGAAAATCACCTTTAAGTCTTCATATATCCCTTTGCCATAAAAATGTTTTATGATTATATCTTCCCATGATAAAACCATTGTACCTCGAGCTTTAAAATTCCATGTTATTTTGTTTTTTACCAAAAGATCTTGTCTAACACACAATGAAAAATGAGATTCAATTTTGTATTATGATATCAACATAAATTCTTATATGTAATAGAACTTTTCATCCCTCTTACTTTGATAATCATAATGTAGTTGTTTTCAATGATGTTGCTGGAGGGAAGTTTCTGGATATTCGTTGGCGAGTTAGAAATACGGATATTCAGGTGGTTGGGGAGTCTATGGTGGCGGACTTGATTTTTTTTTTGTGGAGCTGTATGTCATCATTCTGGGTATAGATTGACTTGGTTAATATCATACGCATTTTGACTGTCATCAGGGTCATCTCGCTTTTGAGAAAGAAAAGTGAAGGTTGGTTTATCATGCGATGAGATCGACTTCCGGGAGTTTTGTGATTCTGTCCATGCTAAGATGACCGATGATACAAGACTCGATGGTGAGTTTGTAGCACAATTAACCTACTCAAATTATGTAACATGACACTACACATTCCTTATATGTTTTTCTATTGCATTATTTCTTTTAAATGCTGTGAATAATTCTTCAAATTAATTAATTTATTTATTTGATGTTACTATGTTAAATTCAGATGTGCATGAATAGAGAATAATCCTAGTTAAAAGATTTACAAGACTAAAATGATTTATTACACTTGATAAACCTTTAAGAGTCATCTTATTTGATGAAAATTTCGGTGTCTAGTTTCCATATTGACTATACAAGTTTCTCTTATTGTATATTAATGTAACGCCCCGACCGCCAACTCTCTAATGGGCCCCATGTTCACCACCAGCCCATGGGCCCACCTCTCTTAATGGGCCTGACGTCCTCTCACTAAGCCCATGAGCTCATTAATATCCGACGGTCGGTTTGCTACGCCTGGGAGACTTAAATACTTGTTTACCGATCCTACAAATCATCATATTATCTTTCCATGTGTTTTGGCGTCACTCACACAGTTCCGATAAACACTTCCCGGAAGGTCACCCATCCTTTGACTACTCCAGCATAAGCACGCTTAACTCTGTAGTTCTCTCAGCATGCTTAACTCTGGAGTTCTCTCAGCACCTTTGACCGAAATGTTAAGTGCACTTTGGTGAAATAGGTGGCCAAATCAATTTATTTAAAAATCTCCGCAAACTGGGGTCTCACAAGAGTTATAAAGTAAACCTTTATGCGGTGTTTGTGTGAGGAGAGAATGTCATCATTGAAGATGGTGGTGAATCAGAGTTGCCAGTATTGCGAGGATTCACATGGTTAAAATCTAGGCTCAGGAGAATTTAGTTAAAGGTATAAAACTATCCTTAAGGTCTCATGTTATTCAACGAAGTAGTGAATCAAGAGGGTTATGCTTGATTTTACGAGTTTGCAAATAGGTTGTAATTTGTTTTCTTGTTCTAGTGAAAAAAAATATGGACGTGGTCCAAGGGAACAGAAAAACCGAACCTCGTTCGCAAATTTCTGTGTTGTTGTTTTTCTCATCGTTCGTTTATAGATATAGCCCAAATCTGCACTTTCAGTTTTTAATATGTTTTATATGTTTTTGCATTCCCATATTGTCTTTCCTTTTTCTTTTCCTTTTTCTTCCATGGAGAATTATTTTCCTTTTTTATATGGACTAAACAACACGAGAGAGACACATGGTACATTTCAAAACCAAGTTACACGTATCCCTTCACAATTTTGAGTCTTGGGTAGGTGAAATCGAATGAGAGCTCTCCTAAATCCGTGAATCACAATCTGTGAATCAAAACAGCCACATCGAAGCCTCGAACAGACCGACAAAACGCCACAATTACTGAGAGCCGCAGTTGTCTAGCTTTGAACCATAAGAGCCAAGAACGAACTAGAGAGACTAAGTTTCATTGTTTCTTTGAATAATAATTCTCTTAATATCTTAATTAAGTGCGATGATATAAACAAATTAGAGAAATGTGAAGACACTACACATTCTTTATATGCATCCTACAAATCAAAGTAACATACTTAAATTACGTAACAAAAAACTATGCATTCCTTATATGCTTTCTAATAGCATTAAATATTTTAAATTTTATGTAATTATTGAAATAAATTAATTCATTTATTGATGTTACTACGTTTAATTCATATGTGCAAAATTGGAAAATAATCCTAGTTAAGATATTCACAAAACACAAGGACAAAACCAGCCGGTATATGGGTGAATAAGGACAACATCGGCCGGTATATGGGTGAGTAAGGACAACACACAAGGAAATATCAGATTTGTAGGGTCAATAACTTTAAAACCCTCTTGGATATGGCAAACCGGCCGGTATATGGTTGGGCTCAAGAGCCTAGTGAGAGGATATGGAGCCCATTAAGAAAGGTGGGCCCATGGATCGGGAATGTATATGGAGCCCACTTTAAGAGGTGATGGTCAGGGCGTTAGAAGTGGTATTAGAACCGAAATCAAATAAGTGTGGACTCAAGTGGGCTTTTTGGAATGACTGTCTTGGTGTGCATCAAAGACGTTACAGTCTATTAGTTGAAGTGAATTGTGATACCCCAGTTTTAGTGCTTGCGAAGTTGAAGCATATATTCGGCCACCTAAGTCACCAAAGTGCACTAATCTTTTCGGTCAAAGGACCTGAGAAAACTTCACAGGTAAGCATTCTTATGTTAAAAATAAGTATCTGAAAGTCAATTGGTAACAGCTTGTCCTGTGGGAAGTTTGTTAAACGGTGAGGACTTGGGTTCGAGGAACGCCAAGCGCACCAATAACCTATCTTGTGGGCCATAAAACTGCAGGCCAGAGGGCTGCGCAGATTGGGCCCACATGAGAGAAATTAGGGTCGATGCGCTGTAAGAATGTCATGTGGCGGAGTAAGCCATGTTGCGGAGGATCCCACATGCCGAATTGTTACAAAAAATCACAGTAATTCACGGGTTATTTTGTTAAACTCAAAAGTATATAGAATAGTGAGTAATCAATAATATTTTACGAATGCAATCCGTTACAGATTGGTCCTTCAAAACATATATTCATTACAGACATGTATGATTCACAATAATCAACTCTATTTATTTAACACAGTTTCATGCACTAACCATACTCGCTACTGTTTTTGGATAATATTCAAAACAAACTTATTAGAAAAATTAGTTACGAAAATAGAAAATTCATAATATAAAAATGATATATTTTTAAAGAAAATAAATTTTAAAATACATTTGTATCACTTAGTAAATTAAAACATATTAATAATAGCCGATAACTTTCCCCCGCGCTGTAACGCTGGTCCGATCCTAGTTGTATATAAAGAACAGTCCATTCCTTGTTTATTTTTTCTTTATATACTCAAATGATGTGTCTTGTCTAATACAAAGGGTTCAAATCATTTTTAGATTTTAAGGGAATTATAATATTTGTATTTTATACTTGAAAGTTCATAGTAATATTTAATGAGTTCAAATTATCTTAAATATTATAAATTTTCTATTGGTTTAAAAGATGTATAGTGTAGATATATTAAACTTTCAATTTAGTATTTTATTTATAATTTCACATATAATATATGTTAGATTTTTCCTATATTTCATTATCTTAAATTTGATTGTAGACTACTTTATTATTGTAATGGTGTTATATTGTCTAACATGTTTTTTTTTCTGGTTTTTTGTCTTTTGGTGTGTGTTCAAACACTCATATTCCATTGAAAGGTAAAAAATAAAAACATAATTATCAGACTATCCAATTTTAGGAGGTAACTTTTTGCCAGCTCATATATATATATATAATTTAATTAATAAAAAAGGAAAATGAGCTGTTGATATTTTTTTCTTATATTTCTTTCTTCATATTGCTTTTTTATTTCCCTTATTATTCTTCTTTTGACCATCTAGTAAAAGGAAAAAAATATTACACATTTATTTTATGAATTGACTCCTTAAATATGTATTGTCATTTACCTGCTAGCATTCATTTGCAGAGATAAGATTTAATAAAACCAGTTTAAAAGGAACAAGCTCAGATAAACATTTCAGAAACCATTAGTGTAGAGAGATTAGGCTATATAATTGTTTGTTAAACAGAGCCAAGACATATCCAAACATCGGTCAGGGTGGAGAAGAATCAGGTACACATCTAAGTTATGTATGGTTATATTAATATCTAGATTTTGTTCTCCTATTGTTCTACAATTCAGACATCATCTTTCTTTTCATTAATGTATCATAGTTATTAATGTATCAAGTTGGTTTTAATACTTTTCTTTCGATAATCGTTACGATTCTATAACTGTAGGGTGAAAAATGAATTGGTAGTATGATATTGAAAGTCTCGTAAGAAGCTCAAAATTCACCATGACTCGTATAAGCAAATTTTGGACCAGAGAGATGTTGACCCAACAACTGAATGAAGGGTGGATGAGAGAAATAGACGATGATGTTTCATTCTCGAGGTCAAGGGATTTAGATATTAGCACAAAATCTATGGTGGTAAAACGAACAAAGAGGGAGGAGAGTGGTGATAAGAAAGGGAAGAAGAAAGCAAAGTTAGAGTGGAGACCGGAGGATTCTGCAAAGTCAATCGGTAAATTGGTTAGGTGTACTGGTGTGGGAGAAAAGATGAAATACCATTATGAGAATTTCGAGTTTCATGGCATACGATATGGACTGGTAAGTTTTGTTTTGTTTTAAGATTGTATTAATGTAACACAAACTTTTGACTGATGACAACAATTTCTTAGAATTTTTTAAGAGACATATTTATTACAATAATCTTCTTAATTTGTATGATAATATTAAAAAGATTTTCATAACGAAATGTAAATTCTTTTTCTGTTCTATATGTATAATAATTGTAGTACAATTTACATTAGGTTTTTTCCTTCTTATTTTTTTTTTGTTGTTTGTAGGAGGATACAGTGCTTTTGGCTCCAGAATACGTAAATCAAAAGAACTACATTGCAATCATCAAGGTAGAAATAATGATAAGCTTTTTTAATAAAATGTTTTATAAGTTGTTCTTATCATAGTCAACAACTGGTATGATTTTTCAATGATTTGATGGATAGGATATTTTTGTAAAAGAAAAAGATGGGGTTGTGATGTTGGAGGTGCAATGGTTTTACCGGCGAGAAGATATAGAAATAAAACATGCTGGAAAGTGGGTATCTGAAGACTCATGCAAGATTTTCTACAGTTTTCATTGTGATGAGGTTTTTGCTGAATCTGTGAAGCGCAAGTGTCTTGTGTATTTTGTGCCAGATGAGAAGGAAATTTCAAGAGCCCTTCAACATTCCGACTTCATTGTGCAAAAGGTTTATGATATCATTAACAAAAAGCTGAGGAAGTTCTCTAGTCTAAGTTTTGATGTGGATCAAAAGTTTGAGATTGATATTCTCGTGGCAAAGACGTTTTCGAGAATTGGTGATCTTCCTGACATTAAGAAAGGGAAAATGAGTAAGATTCCGCGGCGTAAAAGATCTGTTAGGAAAAAATGTGTCTTAAATGCTGAGATTAGGGATTCTAACAACATAATTGAGGTTAATATGTCTGGTTATAAGCTACCAGCCAGTGATTTGGATCGTGGCAAGAGCTTAGTGGAGCTTTTAAAAGCACTAATTGCACACGTATGTTGTGCAAGTAACGAGAAGCAAGTTGGTGATCCTGGGTTTATGCCACCTGATAATGTTACTCTTATGGTATTTGATCTTGAGGAGGCTTTATATGATTCTTTCGCAGATGATATACCAAAGTATAATTCTAAGTTGGAGCTTCTTGTTGAGAAACTTAAGGTTAGTTTTGTCCCCTCCTTCCTCCATTTACTATTATGTTCTTGATTTGGTTTGGCATCCATGTGTTGATGGAAGTCATAAGCTTTGACAATGAATTATTCTATTCTAAAATATGAGACGTTATTTGATGGTAAAATTGTTTAACATAATCCATATAGTATGCTCGACACTAACATATCTTACTTTTTGTTTTAAGGACGCACGAGTGCTAGCTAGAAGACTTCTCAATGGCGAATTAAAACCTGAACAAGTTATAAAGATGAAGGGCTATGAGCTAATAATGGTATGTAAATTAATTCTACATGATTTATTTCAGTAAAACTAGAATGTTTATGTTCAATGATTATAGTTAGTCACATCCTTATGTGAGTTAGATATGTTTAAGTGACAAAGGTTAACTACTTCTTTTTTGATGATACATTTATACATAGGCCGACTTTGAACAACCATAGTTGGTGGAAGATGGTGTTTCATATTTAAAGATGCTCTTGAAGATTGAAGAAGATCATACCAACATTGCTCTTCTTCTTCAAGATATGATTCAGATCATGACTTCTTTTACAGACATATTATTATTATCTAAAACTCCAGCTTTGAAAGTATATTATTTTCTAAAACTCCAACTTTGAGAGTTTAAATGTTTTATAAGAGTCATATTGGTTACATTTTCTGGCATGTGTAAAAATGATGTATGGCTTTTATTTTTTTCGGTGTATGGATAATTTTCTTTAAACTCCATCCATTCTATAATAGGTGATGGTGATAGGGTATACTAAACATCTTGCTCTTCTTTTCTTAACGGTTAGAGAGAGTATTTTCCTTACAATTTCCTTTCAAGATCATGACTTCTATTTTCAAGACAATTTATCTAAGAGGATATTAAATCTAGTATTTTGTTTAAGAGGATCTTCAGATCATGATCTTGGGATTTTCTGAGTTTAAATTGAATTTTAAGTGTTAGATCTTCAAATCCACCAAATTGTTAGCTTAAATGTCGTTTGTTATTCTTCCTCGCTCTTTGTGGCACATTCTCTGTTGCTAGGCCCGGCCCCTCACTCATTTTTTTGAAACTAATGTATTGGGCCTCCAAAAAATTTGACATTTTTTTGTAAGAAAATTAGGCCCAAAAAATATATTGTTTCTTCAAAATTAGGCCCCATTTTTAATAAAATTTAAAATTGTGTCTTCATGATTAAAGTTCATCTATTTGTTATTGCAAAATAGGCCTCATTTTCTGAAAATTTTAAGATGATTTCAAATTTTAAATTTCATTTATAAAACTTACCAAAAAGTTACTTTGTATTGGGCCCCAAATTTTAATAGGGCCGGCACTGTCTGTTACTATCTCATAACCGCAATTAAGATTCTATTGTTTCCTTTTTAGATCTTCACATTTTGTTGTGGCTTCGTCTCTAAACCTAAGGGAAGCTACGAAGTGTTCTGATGTGCTAACAAAGCTTTTGCATTAACAACCTTAAATTTGACCATACATCAAACCAAAACGAAGTTGCTTTGACGACATTTCAAATATCAACCTCACTAAAGTTTATTACAAGAGCTCTATGTTTCAACAATTTTGTCTACATCTATGAACCCATGTTAGCTAGTTGTCTCTCAGATTGACCAAAAGAACTATTGTCCAGTCAAGTATGTATGAATCCACTTTAGTGTAGATACTAGATCCGCACACTTAGATATAAAATTATGCAGGCTAAAATCTCAACTAGAGCTCATCGTTTCTAAATGTTTTGACAACAACGTCTTTTGTAGTCAAAACATTTGGAAACACAAAATATAGATAAAATTTTGATTTTTTTTTTGTTTATTTGGCCTTTAAAATAATAAATTTATCTTGTGGATTTCCTTAAAAATATACATATTACAATTTTAGTTTTAATTATATTTTGACTCCGGTAAAAAATATATATACATTCGTCACTATAGCTAGTTAGTCTTCTCTATAAACGTCTTTAGTAGTCAAAATACAGATAAAAAGTGGATTCTACGAACATTTCCAAACATCGTTTCTTCACTTGCATTTTTTGGATTTGGAGGTTAAACTTACAAAAATAGCATAAAACCTCTTTTATATATATTTTTTTTTGTTTCTGAATGTTTTTGACTAAGAAAGACCTTTGGGGAGAAGACTGGACTAATAGCGAAAATCAACCCATACTATTTGCTGGCGGTATTTTTATACTTAAACTACAATACCCGGCAAATAACAACATAAACTTACAAAAAAAATCAATTTCTCAACCTAAACTATATGAAATCAGCCAAAATGAACATATACCGAAACGGTGTTAGTTAACCATTTCATGGCGATGAGTCAGCCGATACCGTGTCAGTGACGGAACATTAGAGTTGAGTAATATGACGTCGTTTTGTGAGTTTAAGGTTCTCGAATCAAAGAACTGCTGAAGCAAACACTCATCGAATCTTCAGTTTGAGAACCCTAAACTCTCAAAACGACGTTGTTTTACTCAATTCCGATATCCCGTCATTGTTGTGGTATCGGCAGACTCATCGCCGTTAAGTGGTTGACTAACAATGTTTCGGTATATGTTGATTTTGGCTGATTTCATAAAATGTAGGTTGAGAATTTGAACTTTTGTGAGTTTAGGTTGCTATTTGTCGGGTATCGTAATTTGGGTATAAAAATACCGCCAGCAAATAGCCTGGGTTAATTTTCGAAATTTTTTCTAGAGAAGACTAACTAGCTATAGTGGCGAATGTAAAAATATAATTTACCGGAGCCAAACTATTATTAAAATAACTACTAATTCTTATAAATAAAAAAGTATTATAAAATATATATTTTTTAAAGGAAATCCACAAGATAATAGATATTAATCGTCAACACATGTGGACGAATAGAATCACAGACAGCAACAGTCTGTATTGGAGGCTGTAATAAACTAATCACCCTAACATTTATTATTGTCTCTGTCTTCTTCTTCATTCTCTATGACCTTTTCTCAAAATCTGTAACTGAGTATATCAGATCAGATGAGGACACTAAACCTTTTATGGATACATATCTTTAAGAGAATGTGAGCAAGATGATAGCTAAAGATTCATCATCAACCTTATGGTTTCTCATATACCTAACCATTCTTGGTGTTGTCTGTGCTCAAACATGCTTGGAAACTGGTTACTTCAGACAAGAAAGCCTTTACGGTATTAACCATAGACTTATCCTCACTTCTCTCCCCACTACAGTCTCATCTCAAGACGGTTTCTACGCGTCTTCCGTTGGTCAAGATCCGGAGAAATCTTATGCTCTTGGTATGTGTATCCCTGGCGCTGACTCTAACCTATGTTCTGTTTGCGTCAAGGCTGCTTCTGATGGGTTGTTACAAAGCTGTCGTAATCATACTGAAGCGTTCTGGTGGCGTGGCGATAACGAGACGCTATGTTTTGTCCGATACTCTAACCGTTCTTTTGTTGGATCTTTGGATTTGGAGCCTTCGTTTGTTGTGAATAATTCGAGAGAATCCAAGAGTTTGAATTTGACGGAGCTTGTAGACAGTATGATAGCGACAGCGAGTTCTGATTCTTATGCGGCTGATTCGAAAGCTTTGGGGGATTCTCAAGTTGTGTATGCAATGATGCAGTGTACTTCGGATATATCTTCAGAGGATTGTGAGACTTGTCTTCGCGGAAGCTTAAGTCAGTATCAGTCATGTTGCCTTGGGAAGCAAGGAGGTATTGTTTCTCGACCAAGCTGTTATTTCCGGTGGGATCTTTATCCGTTTTCTGGTGCTTTTGGTAGAAATACTCTGTTTCCTCCATCTTCATCTCCACCGGTTAATCAGACAGATAATGGTAAGAACTTAATTTAAGACATTTTGTGATGATGTTTTTGGTTTTGTGTAACAACTAATGATTAAATTAGGGATTGTGCAGGTAAAACAACGATTTCGACTGGAAAAATTGCGGTTATTGTCTCTGTATCGTTTGCCTTTGTTGTCCTGGTTCTGTTTCTTCTATGGTTTTGTGTATGGAGGAGGGGAATGTTACATAGAGCAACTAAAGATGGAAGTGAGTTTTTGTGTTGTTCATCATATCATTGGTGGTTTATGATTCTTTTTTTTTTCCCTAGAAAGAGTCTCTTATAATACTTGTGATTGAGTAGATGTCACGGCTTCAAGCTCAGTACAATTTGACTTTAAGACGATTGAAGCTGCGACAAATAAGTTTTCCGAGAGTAACAAGATTGGTCGAGGTGGTTTTGGTGAAGTTTACAAGGTGAAAATTTCTTTTACGGAATCAACTAGATTATCAGATTATATAGATTGTAAAGGTTTTTAACCTTAGCTAATTACTGGTGATAGGGTATGTTTCCAGACGGAACAGAATTGGCTGTGAAAAGGTTGTCCAAAACATCGGGACAAGGCGATGAAGAGTTCAAGAACGAGGCTGTTCTTGTAGCCAAACTTCAGCATCGGAATCTTGTTAGGCTACTAGGATTTTGCGTGGAAGGAGAAGAGAAATTACTCATTTACGAGTTTGTGCCCAACAAAAGCCTTGATTATTTCTTGTTTAGTAAGTTACTAGTAGCCAAAAACTTCTTTTATAAACTTAACTTATTTTGGTTATGTACTCACAGTCTTGTGTATTGTTTTGTGCTTGTGCCTTTTCTTGTTTAGATCCAACACAGCAACGTGAGTTGGATTGGGCTATAAGATTCAAAATTATTGGAGGGATTTGTCGAGGAATTCTTTATCTTCATCAAGATTCACGGCTCACTATTATACATCGAGACCTCAAAGCTAGTAATGTTCTCTTAGATTCTGATATGAACCCGAAAATCGCAGATTTTGGCATGGCAAGGATATTTCAAATAGATCAAACTCAAGCCAACACGAGACGGATCGTTGGGACCTAGTAGATTTCTACAGAATCAAATTAGTACATATAGTATAACATAGATTTTCTGCAAGTTAACTTAAATTTTAAATCTTGGTTTATATTGTTTTCCAGTGGTTATATGCCTCCAGAGTACGCGATGCGTGGACATTTCTCTGTGAAATCCGATGTATATAGCTTTGGAGTCTTAGTCCTTGAAATAATAAGTGGAAAGAGGAATAGCAGCTTCAGTAGGAGTGAAGGTGGCATTGACAATTTGGTCACATATGTGAGTTATATATAAATTCAAGTTTGCTAGAAAGTTAAAATTTGTGATCACCAACTAAGTATGTGATCATAATCTCAGACTTGGACACTTTGGAGAAATGGTTCGGCACTAGAACTAGTGGATGAGTCCTTGGAAGCGATTTATCCGAGGGCCCAAGCCATTAGATGCATACATATTGGTCTGTTATGTGTTCAAGAAGACCCTGCACACCGTCCCAATTTTTCAACAATCATCCTTATGCTTAATAGTAACACAATGTGTTTACCGGTGCCTCGACAGCCAGGATTTTTCTTACGGAGCAATCCTACTAATCGAAATCAAGAATCTATCGGTGAAGGATCAAGCAACTCTTGTTCTGTCGACAATGCAACCATTACTGATATATATCCTCGTTGAACGTTAGAACCAAATAGCTCTCTTCTTCCAAATTCTCATAGAGAAATTTTTTTTCACATTTATCAGCATAAGATGCAAATCCGATCTAGTCACTAACCCAAGATTGTTATCGTCTTACTCACACGGACAGTATATACTTAATTAAGACGACTAAAACTATGTTCAAATCATCAATATGAAAAAAACCAAGAAAATTAAGAAAACTAAAATTTTGTTTTAATCATCAATATTAAAAACTAAAGGTTAATATTTGTAATAGAGGAAACAATATAAAACATTTTCAAGTGATGACTGAATTACATACACGACAAAAAGTAACAACCAATTTTGAAAAAGTCCAAGTTTAACAGTTATGAGGCATCAACATCAAGAAGTGATAACACATCCAAATCAATATGTAATAGATAACGTTTGAATGTTTCATCAACCAAAATTGTATGGATAACATTACAGTCAAACACAAAAGACACAAGAGGTACGAAAATTAAGAGCATTACAATATTATACTAAATACCATACAAGACTTTTCAACGAGGAAAAGTGATAGTGATGGCTGATTCATCAATAGTAGACTGTGAGACATATCCTTCATTGGTGGTTTCTGATTCATCTTGATTAGGAAAGCTATATCCTGGTTGGTGTGGAATTGGTAAGCTCATTGTTCTACTATAAAGCATCATTACGATGGTTCCCATCGTTGGACGATCCGCGGGATCTTCTTGAACACATAGTAAGCCGATATGGATGCATCTTATAACTTCATCTTTCTCACAATTCTCCCTTATTGCTGGCTCCACCAATTCTTCAGCAACTCCCTCTTTCCATATTCTCCATGACTACATATATGATTAACCCACAATTTTATTATTCATCATTAACTTTTATGCAATATTGACTTGATAGTAATATAAGTTGGTCGTTTCTTACATATGAGGCTAAGTCGGAATCACCATCAGTTTGGTTGAAGTTGTTATTCCTCTTGCCGGTTATAATCTCGAGAACTATAATTCCGAAGCTATAGACATCAGACTTCATAGAGAACTGTCCATGCATTGCATACTCCGGAGACATGTAACCACTGCAAATTAATTCAAATTTTTATAAACCTTGATATATAACAAGGATTAATATGTGACACAAATCATTATCACTCACAAGGTTCCAACGATTCTGCTTGTATTAGACTGGGTTTGGTCCATCCCAAAAATCCTTGCCATCCCAAAATCCGCAATTTTCGGGTTCATATCCGCATCCAAGAGTATGTTACTGGCTTTAAGGTCACGATGTATGATCGTGAGCCGTGAATCTTGATGAAGATAAAGAACTCCTCGCGCTATCCCTCCAATAATCTTGTGTCGCGTTTTCCAGCTCAATTCACTTCTTTTTGTGGAATCTAATATAACCAACGAACGAATCTTTAGCTTTTAAAGATAACTATATTATGAACTAAGAGACTAAAACAGAGTGATATAAAAAACCCACCAAAGAGGAAGTAGTCGAGGCTTTTGTTTGGGACAAACTCGTAGACGAGTATCTTCTCTTCTCCTTCGACACAAAACCCGAGAAGCCGTACAAGATTCCTATGCTGAAGCTTTGCTACAAGAGTAGCCTCATTCTTGAACTCATCAACACCTTGTTCAGATGATTTCGATAGCCTCTTCACAGCAACCTCTGTTCCATTAGGTAACATACCCTCATAAACATCACCAAATCCTCCTTGACCAAGCCTATTACTATCAGAAAATCTATTTGTAGCTACTTCAATTGTCTTAAAATCAAACTGTAGTGACCCTGCACACATACACAACAATATTATCTTCACGAAACAATAATCTTACAAATATAAACTTTTTTGGTTTTATGCTTACCATCATCAGAAGCAGAAGCCTCATAATTTATCTTCCTTCTCTTCAAGAAGTAATACTGAACAGCTACGAAAAACACTAACGCAACAACGATTGGCAAAACAATTGCAATGATTAAAGAACTCGAGCTTCTATAACTTCTTGATTGCGGCTTTGCGAAAGGCGTCACACCAGAGCCTGTATCTGATACTTGCGGCGGTGGTGGAGGAGCTAACAATTCAGAATAAAAAGGGTAAAGCTCGTACCTTACATTACAACTTGGAAGAAGGTTCCTTCCACCAACTTGCTCACGAGGCAATCCATCAATGGCTCGACGAAGACAAACGTTACACTCATCACTAGTCAAATCAGGCGTGCACTGAACCATCCCGTAGAATCTCTTACTCGGTGTAAAATCCGCTTTCTTTAACCCGAACTTACGCGAACTATTCACAGCCATCTTCGCCGCATCGTTCATAGTTGAGTTGAGAACATCACTAAGCCGTTCTCGTAGCTCAGCCGTTACGTTATTGGTATTAGTCAAAAGAACGCCAGGACTAGTAGCCAACGTAGAGAGGATGTTCCGGTCGGAGTATCGAAGCGTACAAGGGTTATACCAAATGGTGGCTTCTTTCTGGTCAGGACAATGGGAGAGAGCATCGTCGACAGCGTAAAGAGCATTGTCACTACAGATTTCAGGGATGATGTCTCCACGACAAAGGAATAGGCCTGTGACTGTGTCGGAACCGTTCCCTATAGTGGCGCTTTGGAAACCTGTGGCGTAGGAAGCGTTTGGAGAAGAGAGAGTAGATAAGAGTGATTTGAGGTTGGAGAAGTAAGTGCTGTTTCTTGTGAAGTTTGCTCTGTTTCCACAGAAGTGACCTATGTAAGGAGGGTCTTGTCCTGAAACGTGGATGATGGTTATGAGTAAGTTGAAGAAAATGAAAATATGGTAATTTGACATTGTTCTTGTTGTTTCTTTTGTGTCATGTAAATGAGGTTTGTGAAGAGACAACAGAAGAGTTATAGTTTCCTTAGAAAAAGTTTATACTATTGAGAATCGTTAAACCAAAGAAAGAATGAGTCAAAGTCAACTTTTTGTGCAATTATTGGAGTTTGGAGTCAATTTTCCGTTCAATTATTTGAGTTTTTGATATATTTTTTAATAAAAAAAAAATATCCATGATTTTGTTTTTTTGTATTTAATAATTGCGGAGACTTGACTTAAATGATTGACTTATTCAGATCGTGGCAGGCAAAGGAATTTTTCAAATGCTGCTGAGAGAATTTGCTTTCCTGCTACACTTATGGGCAGGAATAGGTGTCCATAAAACACTCAATAACAAAACGACATTTTTTAACGAATCTCGTCGTCATCTATGTACCACGGGTTGACTGACTCCTATTCAAAACCAAGTTAACATTGTTTGTACAAAAATTGAATCGACCAAATTTGATATAGTTTAGATTGATTATTTGAATTTTTAGTCTGTTTAGATTGCAAAATACAAGATACTTAAGTTTGGGTAGGAAAACGTATTTGGTGAAGAGTTTGGTTTGATTTTTGCCGTTTTCCCTTATTTCTCACTGACAATAATTATTTGCAACAAAAAAAAATCACGAGTAACAACTAAAATCATGGATTTGTATGATTAAATTGGGTAATGGATGAAGATTAATTTATTCTTAATTTACTTCAATGATTTCATATGAATATAATTATAAAATGAATAGACTTAATATATGTAATATGATCCGGCGGGATTTGTTCCAAAAATTAGATATTTTGAATAACATATTCGAATTTTGATATATATTATTTAAAGATTAGTAATTCTTTAACTTTAGACTATTTTATTTATTAGATTAGCACATATAAGGTTATCAATGTGGTATGTATATATTGACTTCTATTTCCATTTTAGATTCATGTAAAAAAATTTTCTTCATTAATTTTATATGAATATAATTATAAATATGATTAGACTTATGAGAAATACAACATGTAATATGATCCGGTATATGTTCCCAACTAACTTTTTTTATGTATATGATCCGGTAGATTTGCATAACTAACTTTTTTATGACACACTTTTCTATAAGTACCCTCTCTAGGTGTACATTTTCAAAAATACTCTCTTCAATATACAAAATGACTAAATTACCATAACTTTATTATAATCTCTTCAGATTTTGATATTATTTTGAAATTAATAATTATTTAACATTTGGCTATTTTATATATCAGATTATCACATATTAGGTTATCAATGTAGTATATTATCACATATTAGGCTATTTTATTGACTTATTTATATTAAAAAAAAAGTTTCAAATGGTTAAAAAAAATTCAAAAAAAAAATTGTTTTAAATTCATTCTTTGTTTTTTTGTAAACAAATCAAACCAAAAATAAAAATATAACGTTTTTAAATTCATGTCATGCAATATTGGTGTTAGTTTTCAAGTCATGCAATATTAGTGTTAGTTTTTCAAGTCATGCACCGTTTTATCATTTTTCTCATTGAAACTATCCTAAATATTTAGATCGATACGATGTTACAACTTATAAGTATATACTTACCAAGTTTTGTAACTATTATTCTGATATCTCACATGCGTGATGGGTCATGGCTTAGCATGTCGTTTTCTTGTATTGAACGTTAAAAAAAAATTCTCTTTAAATAATAATATATATAGATCTAGTATAATAAAATATGATGCCATGGCATGTAATGCTTTGTCATAAACTCGAGTAAAGCACACGTCTATCCGACTTTCTTTATTTTTTTTACCACTTCTCTCAACGACCAAAATGTCATATTATATACATACATTGACTTAACACTTGCTGAAACATCAAGTGAGAAACAAAAAACAAAAAAGAAACAGAAAGATAAAAGCAAAAGAACAATGGCTATAAGCTTCATTACCATACCTCTCTTGACCCTCTCAGTATTACTGCTTTCTTTGTCTCTTGACGTCGTCACAGCAACAGACTCGCAAAGGAATGAGGCCGAGGTGAGGACAATGTATGAGCAATGGCTTGTGAAGAATGGGAAGAACTATAATGGTCTTGGAGAAAAGGAGAGACGGTTCAAGATCTTTGCGGACAACTTGAAGAGCATCGAAGAACACAACTCGGATCCTAATCAGAGTTACCAACGAGGGTTGAACCAGTTTTCAGACCTGACAGCTGATGAGTTTAGATCTACTTACTTAAGAGGTAAGGTGGAAAAGAAGAGTGTGTCGGATGTAGAGGAGAGGTATAAGTACAAGGAAGGAGATGTTTTGCCTGATGAAGTTGATTGGAGAGAGAGAGGAGCTGTTGTTCCACGAGTCAAAGCACAAGGAGACTGTGGTATGGTTTTCTATTTTGTTAGCATTATTTGATTTTTAGATTGCCATTGTTGTTGTCTGGTAGGTATGGGCATTCGGGTATTCAGTTTGGTTCGGGATGTATCCATTCCGGTTTTAGGTAATGCGGGTAGAGAAATTTAGGTTCCATTCGGTTATTTTATAATTTAGGTTCGGGTATGTATGGTTTGGTTTCGGTTATTTTTGGCTCGGTTATTATTTTTATTTTTAAAATGTTTAAATTTAACTAAAATTTGATTAAATTTTGGCAAATATGTCTACAAACTTCTAAATATATAAATACATGAGGTTCATGGATTTATAATTGTAATTTCGTAATTAGATTTTATCAAATATAAATATAACTTATATTTTGGATATATAACTATATTTTGGATTTTTTGGGTATTAATTCAGTTCTCGATCAGTTCGGTTCTGGATTTTTTGGTTATGAAGTTTTACATAACATTCGGTTATTACTTTATTTTTGGTTCGGTACGGTTTCTCTTTTTTTTGGTTCGGTTCAATACTTTCCGTTTGGGTATTTTGCCAGGCCTAGTTGTTGAGATTAATTAGCGGTTGATAAAAATATATAGGAGGTTGTTGGGCATTTGCGGCAGTTGGAGCCGTGGAAGGTATAAACCAAATCACTACCGGAGAACTGATATCTTTGTCCGAACAAGAACTCCTTGACTGTGACAGAGGGACTGACAACTTTGGATGTACTGGAGGTGGAGCAGTATGGGCTTTTGACTTCATTATCAAAAACGATGGTATAGTATCAGATGAAGTTTACCCTTATAGTGGTAATGATACTGCAGCTTGCAAGGCCATTGAGGTTTGTAAAACCAACATAAGTAAACATCTTTTTGTAGTTTCATTTTGGTAACTAGATTCTACCAAATATAAGTCGTATGCATTTCGTCGAAAATCTATTTTACCGTATAGATGCTTATGACCTTCCTCTCTATGCTTTGTCGTAACAATTTCGTAACTTGATTCTACCATAAATGTCATTTGCATTTCGTCGAAAATATATTTTATGGTATAGACGCTTATGCCCTCCCTCTCTATGCTTTGCGGTTTTAATTTGGTAACTTGATTCTACCATATATGTCAATTGCATTTCGTCATAATCTATTCATAATCTATTTTTTTGGTATAGACGCTTGTGATCTCCCTCTCAATGTTTTGCGGTAATGATTCCTCTGGCATTATGACCTTCTCGTTCAAGGTTTCTTTTGGCTATATGGTTCATCCGGGGGAAATATTAGGGACAAAAATTTCGCAACTTGTTTTTGGGGAATCACATAAACTTTGAGCTATAATTTTAAAGATTTTTCGTTATCTTTATTTCGTCGTGCAGATGACTACAACTCGAGTTGTTACCATTAATGGCCGTGAGGTTGTACCTGAAAACGATGAGATGTCTTTGAAGAAAGCTGTTGCTCATCAACCTATTACTGTTATGATATCAGCAGCAAACATGAGCGACTACAAATCAGTAATTCCAAACGCCAATTGCTACCAAAATGCTTGATTTGTTTTTTTTTTAAACCCAATACTAACTAAGTTGTGTTTTGGTTTTTCCTTAGGGGGTGTATAAAGGACCATGTAGTAACTTGTGGGGAGACCATAATGTACTAATTGTTGGATATGGAACATCACCTGATGAAGGAGACTACTGGCTTATTCGTAATTCATGGGGACCTGGATGGGGAGAAGGCGGATACCTAAGGCTCCAACGTAACTTCAATGAACCGACCGGGAAATGTGCCGTCGCATTGGCGCCTGTATACCCAATTAAGTCGAACTCTTCATCTAATTTGTTGTCTCCAAGTGTGTTTAAATTGGTTCTCTTATTGGCTTTTCAGTTAATTAGTTTGGCCTTGCTTTGAGATAGTCTTTATTGGTGTTCAAGCTCGTTTCATTTCTTCTGTTGGCTTTTACCAAGGACTTTGAATAAGTAGAATTGTTATCTCTATGTCTTGTTGGTTGCTTTTTTGGATTAATAAAGAAAACAAGATTTGTCTCAAACCTCTCCCTTGAACTAATTAGCTCTCATTTTATAATTAGCTCTAACAAGATTGTCTTGTACGAGAACAGCAAAGTTCTTTATAGAATCCTAGCTTTCTTGTCTTTCAGGCTTTTAATTAACTTTGCTGCAACATTAAGATTTTAGCCAATCCTCTTAAGTATTTTTTTTTTTTTTGTGATTATATAAGGCTTTTCATGTTTTTGCTTGTTTGTGAATGAATTTATTCAACAAAAATAAAACGTTTGTAAAATGAATATAATCTTATGCTAAAGAGACGTTTTAAAGGATTTACAAGGCAAATTTAAAGAATTTCGAGTAACAAACAAAACTCGTAAATTCTATATGTGAAATTTACTCATAAAGTGGAAAAATTGGATTGTTAAAATTATATGCAACTAAAGTGTTGAAAAATAAGATTCAATAGTTAAATTGATAAATTTAATCAATTAATTTTACTCTAATCTCTTATTTTAGCATGTTTATGAGGTTTCAATCGTCTGTTCCAATAAAGTATTTTAGTCATACCGTTGATTGATTTAAACAGTTAATATTGCAAATTATGAACAAATAGTGCTTGTCAAGCGTAATCATCCAAACTTTCTGAACCGTCTTCATGTAACCAGACAAGCCCTATTGAGCATTGCTGCCCCAAACTGTGTTGATCTAGATTCTCAAGTAAAATGGATAAACTACCAAAGGACAAAAGCAAGCAGATAATATGAACCATGACAAGCAATATTCAAACATAATTGCATCTCTTTCTATATTTCCATCTTCGGAAACCGAGCTATCGCTAAACCGCACTCTCTTTTCTTTGTTCTTTCCAAACAGATGGGAAATACGCTGATTCAGCCGTTAAATCTGAGCAGCCTTCTTGATTCTGTTAGCTGGACAATATCAGAACCAACTTCAACAGCTAATGTTATCATAGATAGTTTCAGCGCCAGCGGCCACAAAGATATCGAAAGAATATCTTTATCCGCCTTCTTTGATGCTAAAAAGAATGATTCTTTCACTCATTCCATGAGACTTCTTACAGAAAGGTTCCCATGTTCTTCTTCATATCTCTGTAATTAACTTGAGCTACCCTCTTAGGTATTATAAAGCTCATGTTGTTTTGTGTTGTTGTCATGACAGTGAGAGAATGGAATTGGTATACAAAAACCATTTTATAACGTTACTTCTCCCAATCGATTGGTATGGTGAAATGGGACCTTCTTCAAGGTCGTACTTCAGTGAAACCGGCTTTACATGCCAGCAGATTCTCCAACACATCTATGAGTTTTATCAGGTATCAATGTCCTCATATATTAGATGAGTGTCAAGATCTCGCTGAGCGAAACTATTTCAAAGTAATTTGTGCTTATAAACTGTCGCAGGAAAACATGTCCGAGGAAGAAATCAAAGCAGCAATTCACACAAATTCAAGGCAAAGTGAAAAGCTCCGAGCAGCAGACTCGGTGTTGAAAGATGGCAAGACTGTATTCAAACGTATTCAGTATCTCGGTTCCCAGAATGGTTTCGAGATGCTTAAACGTGTTAGTAGCTTCAACTGCAGTAACATCTACGAGCTTATCATTAAGGCATAAATGAGCAGATAAAATAGAGATTTACATACAAAACAATCCAGAACTAGTCAACACATTAGACGTTTCCGGATGAGTAAGTTTTTTGACTGGATTCGAGTTTTTGCGCTTGCAAGATCAATCTGCTGGAGATTACTAAATGTGAATCACATAGTCTTTAACTTGTTAATAGCCCAAATCAGTTTACTTTTGTATGGTAAGTATCTTGCGGCGCTCAAGCTCATAGAGCAGTTCCACGACTGCAGAGTCGAAGGAACTCTTCTTGTCAGAACTTTAGTAAATAAAAAAGATTATTGTAAATATGTAATCCTACACACATTGCATTTGTTCACAACTTCGCATGTTTGATATTTGGTTAACTTTTCTAATAAATTAATTTGTTAACTAGATTTAATTATCTTCAAAACTTTAACCCATAGTTCTAAAGAGTAAAATAAAACTATAAAGATATCAAACTATAAATGATAAGGCTTTTATATCTTTATAAGTTGTTAGGTTTCTTATTTTTTTCTTCTAACTACGCATATGATTTTAGTATGATTTTTTTTAGATTTTATTTTCATGGTTTCTTTTACAACTTGTTTCTTACCTTATATATATACTATGATTTCCCCCGTGGTACACCACGAGTTCATAATTTAATATATTTGTTTGGCTGGTCATTTTTATAGTTGGTTTATATAGTCTTGTTTTATACGTGTTTACTTCATTTTAATTTTATATAACTTGATGAATTTGTATTATAAGTAGATTCATATATATATGTAGTCAACCCCGTGGTACTCTGTGGACAAATAAAAAATTATATTACTTAACCCGTAAAAGATTTCAAAATATAGACGATCCGTAAGAAAAATATAATCATATTTACATAGACTCAAACTCGTTCAATCATATTTATTCACAATATTATTATATTTTAAAAATTTTCAAAGTTAAAATATATATATTACTTTAATTTTTTTGTAGAGTTTAAATATTTTAAATATTATATAAAGCTTAAATTAAATATTATAATATTTGAAAGCTTTTAAAAGTTTTAATATTTATGATTCTTTAAAAATTTTAATAAAAAACTAAAATTTATAATATTTTGAAACTTCTTTAAAAATTTTATTTTTCTTAATTAAATATAGAACCAAATTAAACTGAATAATAATATTAATTTGGATGATTGAGAAATCAAACTTCATGCTCAATTGTAGTTGGCAGCATATTAGTCCTATTTATAATGTTATTATCTAATTTTGTAAATAATTGTCCCCCTCATTGGTTTTTGTGAGCCAATTTTAGTATCATGTTGGCAACAAAAAAAAAGAACTATTATCCAAAATTTTCTATCTTATGTAGACGTTGTACATATATTTTTTATTTTATCGACTGAGTTATATACATCCGTTTTTAAAATTTTAAATTGCAAAATGTGCGGAATAAAATTTGTATTTTTATTATAAACATGTTTTAATAATATAAATTAAAACTAATAGAATTATATATTTAAGTAACTTTTGACTTACTTTTACATTATATTTGTTAAATAGCTCACGTATGTAGGTTTTTTCTTTTCTTTTTCTTGAATAACACTCACATATGTGCTTATGAGATGGGTAACTTGCGAAATGCAGTCACTCCTTTGCTAGAGATATTTCTTGAAAGGCGATATCGAGTATGTCAATACACTAGGAACAAATATATTTCAGCACGCGTAAGTAAAATAAAATAGAGCAACATATATAGTTTTATCAATTACTAGCAGTTGACCCACTTAATTGTTAATTAATGTAACCTTTAATGTCATTTTTCTTATAGTTTGAATAGATGTAGCATCTTTTCCATGCAGATACTCGATTCCGAAGGAGCTCTTCTCTTAGTGTATCGACCTACGTATCCCCCGATACTTTACATCGAGAACCTATTATATACAGCACTGTATTGCTTTCTAGAAATACATATAGATTTAGATTCTTATAGAAATTCCATTATATACGTTACATTGACGGATGTGTATGATATTTACATATTCCTAGAAAAATAAATAAAATTATTTGGTCCATAAGCTATGGCTTATATTGAACAACTTAATTTGGTTCTTTTTATGAGAAATCAAAGAGATTCTTTACACAATATTCTTAAATCCTGCTATACACTTTTATTTATATAATGTTGCTACGATGATGCGGAAAGAAGATTCTTCACCCACTCCAAAAGTGCTTTACAGTGGTTAAAGTTTTTTTAATTTACATGAGAGACTTCTTACAAAAAGTTCCCATCAGAGCCGGCCCAAAAGTCAAACCCATGAAACATATGTTTGCGGCCGTTCCTCTATATAGTATTTTTCGGCCCTATTTTTTTAAGAAAACTCTTTAGTGTAGTGGTATAAATGGACGCCTATATGCAGCCATTGAACCCTATGTTGTTTTTTTTGTTGTTGTCATGACAGTGAGAGAATGGAGTTGGTGTACAAAAACCATTTTATAACGTTACTTCTTCCAATCGATTGGTATGGTGAGATGGGACCTTCTTCAAGGTCGTACTTCAGTAAAACAGGGTTTACATGCCAGCAGATTCTCCAACACATCTATGCATTCTATCAAGTAGCAATGTCCTCATATATGATATATATGTGTCAAGATCTCGCTGAGCGAAACCATTTTGATAAGAAGTTTGTGTCTATATGAACTGTCGCAGGAAAACATGTCCGAGGAAGAGATCAAAGCTGCAATTCACACCAACTCAAGGCACAGTGAAAAGCTCCGAGCAGCAGACTCGGTGCAGTAACATCTACGAGCTTATCATTAAGGCATAAATTAATGAGCAGATCAATTAGAGATTTACATACAAAACAATCTAAAACTAGTCGATACACTGGAAATTCCAGATGAGTAATCTTTTTGACTGGATTCGAGTTTTTGCTTTTCCAAGATCAATCTGCTCGAAATCACTAAATGTGAATCATATAGTCATAACTTGTTAATGGCCGATATCAGTTTACTTTCGTATGGTAAGTATCTTGCGGCGCTCAAGCTCATAGAGCAGTTCCACGACTGCAGAGTCAAAAGAACTCTTCTTGTCAGGCCTAGCTTCTCCAGCATACATCACAGCCTCACGATTGGGTATCCGTAGCGTTATGGTTGATATGAAACTGCTGAAGCTAGTCCGCTTCTCATCGCCATCAGTGAATTCAAACGGAGTTCTGAGTAAGACACAAGAAAGTTATCAGTTTAAGATTAGTCAATACTCAGGAGACAAGAAAAACCACTGAACTAAAATAAGACACAGTTGATGATGAACTCACCGCGATTTCTCTTCCGAGGTGTCGAAAGTAGGCATTGGCCAGAGATACTTCTTGCAGAACTCATGTAGAGTTCCACGAGGCCCACCTTTCTTCATGTTTATAGGTCCGATAACTGAAAATCATAAAATCATGAAATGCTTAACCCTGGATACCAAGAAACTGAAGAAGAAAAGAAGAATCTGTTTAAGGTAAAAAACAGTGTATGCACGCTCACCTGGAATCACTATACTCTGGATTTCGTTAGAATCTGGAGCCGGAGTTTCTCCGTCTAGATTAACAGCCATGGAACTTTGATTATCCCCGATTGAAGTTTTACGTGAAATGTTTCTCTTCTGAAGAACCAAATAAAGTTTCAGCAAATGAAGACATTGTAAACACACCAACACACGCAAGTAGAAACATCAGAACATTTACCTCAAGTTGCCTAAGCAGATGCAAAGCTGCTTTTCCCAAGGCCAGTTTATTTGTCTGTTCAGATCCATCTCCAGTTAGAAGAACATCGTCCAGCTGCAACTGGATCGTGGCTTGTGCTTTGACACCATCATTTGAACATTTCACTCGGAAGAAATACCCAAGAGAGTCGCAAAGCTCATTGAGCTCTCGGTATGGAGGTAGCTGAAGTTTATCTGGAGTAACAAGTGGAGAAAGCATCGGCTCAAAGACTCTCCACACTTGATCAAGATCTAACTTTGTATCGATCAGCAATGCTCCAGCAATACTCTCCACCAAGTCTCCAAGAGCCTAAACCAAAACAGACAAGTATGTCAACCTGTTTGTTCTTTTTGTAATCTGAAAATCTCAGGCAGGGACTTAAAATGGTCATGCAAGTATGTTTTTTTTTACCTTAGGCCCTTGTATTGAAGGGATTGATCTACCAGTCTCATCTGGCTTTGGAAAGGACATCAGATACTCGTTTATTTGTGTCTCAAGAACCGTAGCACGACGTTGAAGGTGGCTATGCAGATTATTTTTCACTGCAACTTGTGCAAAATTTTCATTATTTACACATGCAGAACGAAGATCGGTCATCTCTCCAGGCCCAGTTTGTTCGTAGGTATTAAAAAGGTGACGGGTGATTAGAAAATCCAGTACAGAATCGCCAAGAAACTCCAACCTCTGTTTGAGGAACAAAATGATAGCATGAGATTAGAAAACTAGGTGTGAGTTAACCAAATAATGCAGGGTTAAAATGATGAGGCCATACCTCGTATGAATAGGATTCATGAACAGAGGAATGTGTGATAGCCTCTTTTAAAAGGAACTTGGCAGAGAATTCATGTTGGATCTTTCTCTCCAACTCTGTGAGCTCATTGTCTTTAGGTACGTAACAACGTAGAGAAGCTCTATTGATGGCTTCAACGACTAAGTTTTGGTCAAAATCGACATCAACACCGAGCCATTTCATCAAATGGAGAGAAGCAGTCAATCCACCGCTTACATAATAGGCACCAATCAGGGCCTCAGCACAATCTGATACAGATTTTGAAACTGTCCATCTATGACCCATGTCGCAAGCCTTCCCGATTTTGATAGTCATGTTTTCTGTGAAGAATTTTGGGTCCAATGGTACTTCTCTAGTTTCAACCCCACATTTGCAAGGAACTGGAAAAAGAGAAACTTGACCAGATGCAGTCCAGCGACGAGGTTCAAAAGCGCCGTTTCTTATGTATCCCTATCAAACCAATCCCAATATAAAAGATATTGGACTGATATAAGACATTAGTACAGAATATTAGAAGATACCTGTAGTTT